GCAGCCCCCCCCCCCCCCCCATGTGGTCAGAATATGGTAACACACCACTTCCTTTTCCTATAAGTGATAACCGCTAAGTTATTAACAACTTGATTTTGTTTGCCTAGATTACGTTTGCCATTTGCTGCCCGTATATGACGTTTTCGTGCGGCGTCTGTGCGGAGGTAGACGATGGCCGTGCGAAACCGTGCGACTTCACGGCCACCAGAGGTTCTACAATTTTGTCAAGTTAAAATTTTTAAATTTTTTTTGAAAATACATTAACATAGTTGGCAGTGCACAGTTCCCATACGTACATTGTGCGGTGGACTTGCCGTGATGGTGATAATGGTGAAACCTGTTATTGGACTGGTTCCTTTCCACCTTTGGTGGTTTAGGGCGGATAACAACAGTCTCTCTCTATCTTCAAGTATCTTGTATTTGTAGGACGTTGGCTGCTTTGTACCTCCACAGTAAAGATGTTTAAGACTGTTTTATTCACTCGCATGAATTTTAATTACTGTTTTTATTATTCCGACCACGGGTGAAAAACTGTAAGGGCGCAGCTGCGCCGCAAACGTATCGATCTTCATGCCAATACGGAAGGCAGGGAAGGAACCAGTAACCTGCGCTAAAGTTCTAGAATCCGATGACTATTCTAAAATGTTGTGAATGACTAATGTTGTAAATGTTGTAAAGCAAAAGGTAACGGTAATCGTTTTATTAATCGGAAATTAGAGGAATTTAATTGAAATTCGGTTAACTAAAATGTCGAAAGTTAGTAAGTTCAAGCATAATTTTGTTAGGAAACAACTACCTGTACTACGGAAATTGCATTTTGTATTAGGCAGAAATGGAAATCATTAATGTCTCAAGGATTGGGGTAATTGTTTGGTTTCACAATCAAAAAGAAAATGTTCATGACGTCAATAACGCTGGACGATTACAATTTTGAATGCATTCCCAGTTTGTTGAAATAAAATTTAATACATCTCATTTTGGGTTTGGAAAAAATAAAAGCGGCCTTAACTGGCCTAAAATCAGTTAACCTACATATTGCGTTTGTCATTTTATTTCGATAATTGATGTTGAAAAGGGGGGGGG